ATAACTTTTAACTGCATTTACTTGCCTTAGTATCAATGTTTGAAACAGTTAAATACAGTTATTCTGAGGTTAATTTGGTACATAAAAAAACACAAAAAGGGAATGACTTAACTGCCTGGGACTTTTACTGAGGTTTTCTACCCCAGTGTGGCCTGGATATACTGCTTTTGGTTTTAAGTTGGGTGACCAGGAATGTTTGGTCTAAGCCCCTCTGAGCATATTCCGTAAATTAGTAATTATGATATCTTGGTCATAATTTCTGCACCACAAACTAATCCATGACAAGTGGATGTTTATGGCAAAACCTCCACAAATAAAAGAGAAAAAAGATCAATGTTTTTAAAATGTGGCTGCTCAGGGAAGGATTATCAAAATAAAAGAGATAAAGCGTTATGATTTCTACATAAAACTCTGGACCATTAAAGCAGAGTTAAAGTAGGTGGCCCTGATATGAAGTTAAATTTCACAACTTTGTGACTGTTCAATTTGAAAGAAACAAGAGAATAGACGTGGTGTGTTTAAAACTATTATCAGGAGAAAAATATCTTGTTTTAAAGATAAATATGGGAGCACCAAAGAGTGTCACAAAAGCATTCCTAACCACTGCTATAGATTTTTTAACGTTTAACATCCTTATTTATTCACCACCCTTTAACATTGATATGAAGAGGAAACATAGATATTAGTAATATATTAGTGAAATGTGTAAACTTATAGGCCAGTGATAACAAGAGTCCGGAAAAACACTGACACTTCTTTCCAAGGTATTTCCAACATTTACAGATCTACAGTTTACTTTCTATAATTAGTTGTTTTATACCCCCTATATCAGGAAGTAAACCAGATACAGATACAGCAAGGCTTCCAGAGTAAATCTGGCCTATATCCTTTAGCTTTTCCTTAGAATAAATGCTTTATCAGAAGATATACTATCTGGTCAGGCTAATGCATTTTCATGAGGAAAAGATAACTGAGGTTTTTGTGGTTTAATGCTTTAGATAAATACAAACTAACTATACAATTAAAGTGAGCACAAAAAGCCAGCAGGACTCAACAACAACAAAACAATGGAACTAGAATTACATCAATTAGAAAACAAAAAGTAATTCATCCATTTTTCCTCTTTTTTGTGTACCAAGAAGTGGCATGGTACAATAGGAATGTTTGTTTTACATATGAGGGAGTTTATTTTCTGGATAAACACAATTTGCATTCCATACTGTATACTCAATTATATAATTTTCCTAAATAATTGTTTTTAAACGTTTTGCTTTTTTTTCTTCATATTGAGTAGTGCAATTAAACTCAAAATATGTTGTTTACATCTGCTTTTGCTGGTATCTGCTTAACCCCTCAGGTCACCAGTCAGTAGCTTTTGGAGGAAATCAGACACAGGAGTGTAAAAGAGGATACTTAAAGCTTAAACATTGTCTGACCCCTATGAAAATTTGTCTTGCCTTTACTATTCAGCAACAGGCAGATATTCTTCAGACTTCAAACAACCTGACTTACAGTAACTAATAATCAGATTTATTTTCCAGGAGCAAAGGACCCCTTAAAGGGGACTTCAGTAAAACCTGCAACTTTGAGGTCCAGTTTTGCCCTGAAAACAACGAAGGATTTATTTGAAATTTAACAGCCTTATTAGCTTGCTGCACAAAACTGTGGAAGAAAATAAAGTTAAATACTGTGTATAATGAGGTCAGAGGGGGCTGATCTCTGATGAATGAATTCCATTGCACGCACCATGTTTGGGGGTAAAAGTCAGTTGATCATTTAATTTAGGCTAGATTCTGATTTAAAGGTTAGACCGTTCACAGGGTTGATTATTATTAGTGGCAGTTAGACCAGTTTCACTTCTAAATTCTTTTCAAACCATTGAAAGAAAACTGGCCAGCCTTCTGCTTGTATTTTACATAACCCATGTAAGTCTTTGGATTCCTTCTACTTTTAAGACCCAAGAGAGATCAACTTGAATCCATTCCAGGAAACAGCAAAGTTTATTTGTTTAGCTTTTCCTACTTTCTCTCAAATCCCAATACCCCTCAAACACCCCCACCCCCACCCCACCCCCTATGGGTGGTCCTTTATTTGAACCTAAAAATATGTTTTCAGTGCCAGTGTAGAAGAGCTCTTCTAACAACAACTAGTGTGCCTTTAAAACAGCTTGTAAATTCAGAATATCTATAAGAAAACACTTGAAGGACTGGAAATAAATACAAAAAAGCCAAAGCAGTCAAACCATTTCATTGTAGTAGTTTCTTTTATCAGTTATTTTGATGACTCTTAGTCCAATTTTACTAAAGCGTCTTATTCCTTATACGATCAAGTAAAATGATATGACTGGCATAAAATCAAATACAAACAGCATAAAAATAAAACAACAAGCCGGTCCCATCTAGGCGTAATCGGAGAAAATGACAGACGACAGTCTGCTCCGTAGCTTTGATTTGGTCGCTGTAACCGCAGAAAATCCCGCTTCACAAAGATAGGATGTTATAGATAGGATGAGTCTTGAACTGAATTAACCTGTGTCAAGAGGCACAGATGCACCAACTGATGTAATTGGGAGAGAATACCGCAATTTTTTATATTTTTCAAAATAAAACATCACTCAGACTCTGATCGTCGATAAATTATATATATATATATATGTATATATATATATATATATATATATATATATATATATATATATATATATATATATATTTTATGATATTGCTAAATGATTTAATTTTAATAAAGAACACAAACACAGACTTCGAATTAAATCTTTATTTAACCAACTTTTTTAACCATAACAGAATTGTTTTAAAGAAAAATAACTTAAGAGACCTGAGTTATGTTATTAAATACTGACAAAGAATAAACTAAAGTGACCCCGTGTGCGGGGTGGGGGGCCGGGCTTAAAGCAGGAAAGAGATGGGTTGGTGTGGCGGTGTCGCCGCTCCCCTCCCCTCACATCCGGATTTTAGGTTCACTTATGGGGTCATCCGATAGTCCCGGGACCGACCACCGGTGTCACCGGGTTTTTGGTCCTGGTATTATTGGATGTGAGTGTTATGTGTGAATGTGTGTCTGCGTTGTTATTTTCTTTATTTATTATTATTATTATTTTATTCAATTTTTTTTTTTTTTTTTTTCCTGTGGTACGAGTGGGGGCACTAGGGAGGGAAGGCATGATTGAGATGGTGTGTTTTTTTTTTTTTTTTTTTTCTTTCCCAGGTTGGGGTCTCAACCGCACCCTCTCCCAAATACATCTCAAGTCTCCGCTAAGTGCGGAGCCCATTCCCCCCGTCCTGCTCTCCCTCCGCTGGCTGGCGTCGGGGCTCACCGGTGCACTGGTGGAGCTGGTGCACACACATGTTCTTATACACAAAGAATCCCCTCCAGGCATGCTTTGGCACCTTATAATGTTTTTACAGTGAGACAGAGAGCAGTCCACCTTTTTTATTTCCACTCAACAACCATAGTCTCAGAATAAGAGCATTGAGCAGAGCTCTTTGAGATGTTCAAAGCTTGGCATCACCCTGCTTTAAACTTTCTCTCTGACCGTTAAGATGTGTTCCTGTACTTGTTTTGGGAATACTGCTGGATTGTTCAGACCAGGGTACAGATACGTTAACAACCAGGAACATATTTCGATAATGACCTTTTAGGGATAAATGTAGGATGTTATTTGAGCCTTATTAGTCATACAGGAGCACACCATTATAGCTTGACATAGTTAAACACTGCAAGAGAACACTGTACCTTTAACTATCAAATAACACTATAAACTAACACGAGGGGGTTTGTACTTCCCATGATTCACCTTGAAATGAAGAATATTCCAGTCAGGTTGGAGCTTCCCAGCCCTGGTCTCACTCTGCTGTTTACAGTCTGCCAGCTTCTTTTGCTGCACAGCTGACAGGAAGAGCAGCAACACATCTCTCTGAGAGGTGTTGTTTTGGTCTTTTAAGATTGACTGCAGACAGAGAGCCCTTTTTGGTGCTCCTCAATGTAAACACAAGTCAGGCTGTAATGAATGTGTAATGGCAGTAGAATCACTGACATCCCCTATGTTCCCACTGTACCCACTGTTCCCTGTAGTACCTGACAACTGTCCAGAGGCAGTCGCTTTTTTTTTTTTTTTTCAACACAAAGTTATGCACCAAATTTTTGGAGCACAGCTTTTTTCATGGGAGACTTATCAGCCTCGACAAGGAAAAAATGCTGGTTGGAAGCTTTGGAAGTCTGCAGCATCGAGGAGAAAGTTTAAAACAGATTAAACTTCTAGAATGAGTTATTCTTTAAAAGAACTTGGGCCACACGTATAAAGCATACGTAACATTTAAGCACAACTTGGGAGATAAAAAAAAATAATAATAAGAAAACTAGAAATTACTAAAACTTAGCCAAATGCACTAAAATGTGACTATTTTGTTTGTCTAAGCTCAAGGAGCGGATGTTTTTCCACGAGTTTAAACTGTTTTGGTTTAAACTAGAGTTATCTCTGAATCACTATAAGAGGCTAAATGTGATCACTGAATCACGTCTAACCTAGTAGTTTAACACTTTGCACAGGTATTAAAGGTTGTTGCTTGGTTTTAACAGTTCCTGCAGCTGCTCTAAATTTAGAACAATTTGGAATGTATTGAGGAAAGGGGTGTAATAGCAGGGGTACATAATGTTTTATTAATCTGATTTCTTTGTGGCTGCACACTTTGAAATATATTGCTATTGCCGACATGTGTGTATGATTATATAACAAGTGTGGTTTTTTGTTGTTGTTACAATAAGTATTTATAAGCCTTGTTAATGTTTTTTTCTCTGCTGTCAGTAAGTCCCATGAAGCCCCTTGCTTCTCTACTGTACTTCACTCATCAGTCAGAAAACTTGACCCACTGTGACTGTGGCAAATACCACACGTCCATGATGACGCCAGCACAGGCAGACAGTTTAAGGGAAAAGATTGAGGACACTCTTTTTTTCTACCTCCATACTATCCATCATTGGTTGGATCTGCGCCCTAGATCAGGGACCTCCTCCCCTCCCTGCCCACAGCGGTGCGCCCCAATATTAGTAGAGAACATGTGGATTACTGGAAAGCAGAGGGGTTCGGTTTGCCTCACTACATCCCCCTGCTGATTCCTTATCATCCTTTGCAATAAAGAGGAAATGCGCTCCCAGATCCCCAGCAGACCAATGCAAATAACAGACGCCAGCTTGAGGCGGACTTATTTGACAGTGGAGATGTCGAACTTTACGCACGGGTCTGTACCTATCAACGAGTCGCTGGACAACTCAAGTGAAATCATTCTGCCAATCTTTATGTTTGCTGGCGGGGCCATTGGGAATCTGATCGCGATACTTGTCCTTTCTGTGTCCCGACAGCAGAAAAAGACCTCCGCCTTCTTCTCGTTGGTGCGCGGTCTGGCTGTGACGGACCTCCTAGGGACCTGTTTGGCCAGCCCGCTCACAATAGCCAACTACATGGACCACCATGTGCTGCACGACCACCGCGTCTGCGAGTTTGACTCCTTTCTGTTGCTGTTTTTTGGTTTGACCGGACTGAGCATCATTTGCACCATGGCAGCAGAACGGTATCTGGCCATCTGCTGTCCCTACAGATACCAGCGGTGGGGGGTGGACAGCCGCTTTGCGCAAAAGTTCCTTCTCTTCATTTACATCAGTCACATTTTATTCTGCTGCCTCCCCATGATGGGCATATCGAGGAGCGAGCTGCAGCCGCCCGAAACCTGGTGCTTTATTGACTGGAAGACCCCCGAGCCTGTAGCTGCAGCCTATGCGGTTCTGTACGGGGCCGTGAGCCTGCTGCTCATCCTCGGCACCATCGCGCTCAATCTGGCGGTGTGCGGAGCGCTGCTGCTGATGCGCCGCAGAACCGTGCAGCGGAACTTTAGCAGAGCCAGCGTCAGGCAGAGGTGGAGGGCGCTGTCCACGGCCGCGGAGACGCAGATGATCGCAGTGCTGGTGATGACCTCCGCGGTGGTCCTGGCCTGTTCGGCTCCCTTGGTGGTGAGGAATTATTGAAACAGCCATTTTTACTCATACATTCTGAACAGTGTGGGGTGTATTTGCATTCACCCATCTTACGTAAAACCACTCTATAAAGTTTGAACCTCAATGCTAATTCTGACATTTTTAACTTGATGGGAACAGTGGCGGTTCTAGACCAAATGTACCAGGGGGCAAGAGTGTTTTAATGGGGGCACAGAAAAGCATGAAATAAAAAACAGGGCGAGGGAATAAAATATATTAAGAGAGCTGCATGAAGTGAAATTTCTATTCTATTAGGTTTAATAAAAAATCTATTTTTGTAAGGTCAATATACATTCATAATTTAGGAATTTTAAATATTTTTAACTTAATTTAAGTTAAAATTACAATTTTCTATAAAATCTGAATTAGAACTTAAGAAAAACTGATAAATTCAGCTGTAAAAATTATTATAGTATTTCTTATTTGTTTTGAAAAAAAAAAAAAACATTTAGCAGATGAAAACTGGGATCCTATCTCACTAACACTGAAGCTATCACCTTATTGTTTTTAAATAATTAGTAAAACATCATTTTTAAAGAAAATAAATGAAATAGATCCAAAGGACCTATCAGTAACCATTTCTGTTCCAGCGCATAGCATCATTAGAATTTCTTTTGAGTCTTATTTCTTCAAATTTAGCTCCTTAGAAGCAAAATGTGTAGAAGCAAATTTTCCTCTGTTTCACGCTAAATGACTAAATTCATGTGATAATTTGGGTTTTAATCACTAATGCCCTTCAGAAATGTCTTTTTGAGGCTGGTCACACGAATAGAATAACTTGTTAAACCTTTAAAATTGTATATACTTTAAAAATTATGTTATGTAGGATAAAGGACAATGTTATTGTTTCAAGCTCTTTTTAGGCATTATTATTTACACAAACTTGTTGCCATTGAATCACTGCTGCACTTGATAAAATAGAAATGTAATGAAAGCGGTGCAAAACAAAATTTCGTTTTGTACACACCCTGTGTATACAAAATAACAATAAAAAGTTGTCTAAGTCTACGTCTGCTTTTTCAGGTGCGCATTTTTGCCAACCGCTTCCAGAATGACCAAAAGGCAGATCTGACAGCCATCCGGATCGCCTCGTTGAACCCCATCCTGGACCCCTGGATCTACATCCTCCTCAGGAGATCCCTGTTTCGACGTTTGCTCAGTCTATCCAGGAGATGCGACAGCCCCACCACTATTTGCCCGCCTTCTCCTCAAAGTGATCTGCTCTGTCCTGAGATCATGAAGCAGAACCGCGTGTTTATTCAGCTGATGTGCAATGCACACATCATCACTCAGCTGCCTGCTTCTGTCAGCTTCACACCATCTAACGCTGAGATCCTCGGCCAGACTTGAGGCTCTGCAGAATCAGTGGATTTTAGTTACAAGCAGCTGTAAGGAAGCAGAACGACTCTCTATAAAAATTCGATACTGTGACTAGAGACACAGTTATTATCAGAATCTGCTTTATTTACATTAATGCAGACAGATGAAGTATAAATATGCAAAAGAAATTATAAAAATATATATTTTTTAAATATATAAATATTTACAAATGTACAAATGTGAGTAATGTTAACGTGGACATTCTGAATTCTAAGTTTTGTTGGAGAGACTTTCTGGAGGAAAAACTGTCTCTGTGCTGGATATGTCTTTGTTAATGTTACTCTGTTGTGCAGACATGACCTCTACCAGACTGGGGAGAAGATTATCCCCTATTATGCTCTCCACAGATCTGATTGTTTGTTGGACTTTGGACCTCTTCAGTTTTATTTCCACAAAGGGCAATAAAAAGAAAAGTCTGAATAAGAATTCCTATAGAAGGTTAGCTTCTTAGGTTGTTGCAAAAAATACAGTCTCATGTCGGCCTCCTGGCAGAAGTCCAGTCATTAAGAGGTGGAATGGGGAGAGAATACAACCCGAGATGCCCCTCAGCTGCCAATTAGTTAGGAAGCTGGTGATCCACAGAAACTGTGAGCTGGGCAGTGTCTGGATTGATGGTGTTGAAGGCAAAGCTGAAGTCCACAAACAAGATCTTGTCTGCTTCCATGACTGTTCAAAGTTATAGGAGGAAGTGTAGTCCCAGGTTTACTTCTGTCTGCTTGGTAGGCAAACGGGAGGGAATCCATCAGGGGGCCTGAGATGAACTACAGATGCTTAAACAAAAATTCCTTAAATGATTTTATTACCATAGACGTCATTTAATCGCAAGATGGTGTGAAAGAGATGAATGGGGAACTTTTGAAGCATAACAGACGCTCAGGGAGCTCAAAAGACTCGTTGAAGATCTGAGTGAAGATGGGAGCCTATTGGCTCTCAGGCATGAGAAGGAGACATTGTCAGCTCTTTGTCCTGTGATCCTGAAAGAGCCTATTTGAATTTTACTGAGAGAAATCTAATCCAGGTGGAGGGTCTAAGGGTGGGTAATAGTTGATGCTTGTCAGAGGCGGAGCTAGAAGGGGGCACGGTTGGCCTTTGGAAAACTTTACCTATTTTGATATACTGTAGAGCAGAACAAGCAGTTCCCCTGTAAAACATAGGGTGGCAGCAGTGATACACTCAGGTGAAATGTCCTAACTTGATTTTTTCTGTTGTTCTTATATAAACCACACACTGTAAAAAAAAAAAAAAAAAAAAATAAGGTAATTGATTAATTAACTACATCTATATACTAACATTAGATAATAATAATAAAACTCATGCTTTTTTTAGAACTAGGTTTTCAGCTTTATGGTGGAGAAGAGAAAGTTCTGAGTATCTACAGATGAACCACTGCTCAACCCATTCAATGTGAATATTATGCAGATTCATTACTGATTTAGACAGCATAGATGTATAAAATGTGCATAGCTTTATAAGCAATATCTCAATGAAAATATTTATATTTAGAAAATATAGATGTTTTGCTTGTTTAATTTCTAGGTGGTACAGTTTGATTAATGAGGACTGACCCTAAACTTGTTTTTGGCAGTTTTCAGCTTACCCTGCCTAGCCACCTCTATGACAAGTCTCTGGCTCCTTCAGACACCATATTTTACATATGAACTTCTTTAAAGTTTTTTTTTTATTAAAACCTTTTATTAATGTTTTTTGTGTGTGGTGGGTGGGGGGGGGGGTTAGAGCTGTAGAACAGATAATTCTTTCTGAAAATAATCTTTATTCATGTAACGTAATGTCTTTAATCTTTGCAACATGCTTGTAGGGTTCAAAAGGGTCAAAGATTAAAAAGCAAAACATGAACAAAAAACAAAGTGGAAAATGTCAATAAACTCACAATTTTATACAGGAAATACAAAAAGGTTTTCTTAAAATTACAGAAATTTAAGAAACATTGTAGCTGGTCCGTTCAGTTGGTACACTCAGTTGTTTAGAGCAAAGAGCCAATCAAACCAGGAATTCAATCTCCATACGAAACATTTGAGGAAAAACGTGACATAAAAACTGTCTCAGAGATGCTTAACTGTTTCTTTCGTAGACAGAGCTACCCATGGAGCTAGTTCACCGTTACCTTTTCTAATCCAGGAAGTATTAATAAATCAGTGCTTCTGGAAAACTCAGTCAGCCTAAGCAGATGGACACTTACACTGAGCCTGGTTCTGCTGTGGGTGTCTTCCTATTAAAATGTATTTATCCTCTCCATGCCTGCATGCAAGCTTGTGCTGAAGAATCAATGATACAATGCATGTTAATATCAGCTGTCACCACATTCTGGTCCAGGAGAAGCGTGTCCTGCAAGTCAATGCCTCAATACAATGAGCTGGTTTTCCTTGATATGAAATATGTATGATACGATATGATATGACACACTTACTGTTGTACCTCTTGGGTCTTGCCGTCCAAGCTTCACAAAAAAGAAAGTAAATAAATTGCATTTAATTGATGGCCTACTGGTAAGAATCCTGAAGACTGATTAAGTACAAATGATGGCAATTATTCATTTTTTAATCAAATATTATTTTTTTTATAGTTTGATGCTAAGTGTTTTCATTTCCCTTTTGGAACATCCCATGTAAAAGAAAATGCATTTCACGTCTCTCATATTTATAAAGCTTTTCTTTGGTACGGATGTTATTGTAAAACACATTTAAGACATGCATATCTCCCAACGCACTGACCAAAACCTGCTGCTAAAGCCTAATGTCAATAAAGATTATTACCAAGAATGCTCAATGTTGTTTGCGTCAAGAGTTCCAGAGAATTATAAGGTATATTCAGAAGTCAGATTAATCAGTATCCATATACTAACAAAGGTTGCTTCTACTCACCAACTTGTTTTAACCTTGTTATAGAAAGTAGAACAGCATTCGTTTAAAAAAAAAAGTCAGTGAATAAAGGGTGAAAACTTTGTTGCAAGTACCTAATATTATTCATTTACAGTACAGAAAATAAAATGACCCCCTTTAAAATCCAGACCACAATAAATAGCTGCACTAAATATTATTGTTATTGGTACAACTGAGCGCACTCCATAATAAGCAGTCTGCCATAAAAGATCAATGTCTTCAACAGCACCTGATCTTTAGTCCAAAACAGGTCTGCTTTAAACTCATTTGCATGTTTGAAAGTATTCTGTTCACAAGCAACTTCTTCTGATAAAAATTACCAGAAAAAGTAGTGAACAAGTCATCCACTGGGGAGCAGAAGAACAGAACAACACAAATATACAAAGCGAGGTATTTTATAAGAAACCCTGGTTTAATTACTCAAATTTAACTGACAGAATATAATTTAAATTGTTATTTTAGTGTCTATTGAAATTCTTATATTTCTGAAACCTATGATTAAGCCTCATGTTTAGCAAGAAAACTTTGTGTTTTTGTGTCTTATATAGGTAATATTTCTTCGAATCAATTAAATGGACCAGTAAAAAAACCTAAATGAGTGCTGAAAATCACCCTCAGTTTCTGCATTAGGCTATCAAGTTAGAAACACAAAAGGGGAGGGGGGGGTAATTATGGAAGCTTAAGAAATGTGATGAACTTTAAATAGAGTGATCTTAATTTGTTGCATTTAAGGGCTGTGGTATAGCTTTCCATATATTATTATATTGTGATTCAGGAAATCTAAGGTCATGTTTATTTGGGTTAGTTAAATGTTATAAAATTACCATCAATGTCTAATAAATCATTAACAGAAACTACTCCCTTACTCACCAATCTTCAATTGAAATTGACTTTTGTTGCAAATTATACCAGGGATTTCCAAAAAATCATAAGCTTGTGGAGAACAATTATTGACCCATGAACATTGTTTCCCATGAACATTCAAAACTTGTTACATCTTTAAAACCCAGACACTGGCTCAAATTCTGACTTAAAAAGCTACCCTTCAAATCCCTGTTGGGGGAAAAAAAAACAAAGCTGCCAAGACCCTTCATGCTAATGCCTGCCTCATACAATGATGAGGTAGAGGAATGAATGACATGCCCGGCCAGACAAGATCTGCATCAGGTGCTGGGGAACCAGAGTACCTTGGTGAAAAACAGGCTACTGGAACAAGAAGGAAATTAGCAAGATGCGAGAACAGGGCTCTGTTAGAATGCTACTACTCCAGTAACCCTTGTCAGAGGGGGTACATGCGAAGGATGGGGAAGAAATGGTCACTTTGATACCCACAGTCCACACTCACAGCAAAACAACCAGTAGCTCAATGTTCCAACATTCATAAATGCCAGCTGCTCTCACAACTTGAGATTGACCAGGTACAAAACAATTGTTATGGCGACAGGGAAACAGGACCCCAGGTCAAAGTGGGAAACACCTCAAAAGATTTTCAAGAATGACCGAGCCAAGATCCTGCGGAACTTCCAGATAGACCGACTGAATGGTAATAACAAACCAACCGGACATTGTGGGGGTGGACAAAAAGCAGAGGAAAGGCACTGTGGTTGACATAGCAATGCCAAGTGAATGCAACATCAGGAAAAAGGAACATGAAAAACTGGAGAAAACCTGCAAGGTCAGGGCATCAGTGGTGCCCATGGTCATTGGGGCACTCGTGGCAGTGAACCCCAAACCTTAGGAGTAGTACAGCAAATCCCTGGAAATACATCAGACAACTTGGTCCAGAAAAGTGCAGTTCTACGAACAACAAAAATACTGTGCAGAACCCTCAAGCTCCAGGCCTCAGGTAGAGGACCCGAGCTTGGAGGATAAAAGGGAGACCGCCCGCGATGGGTGAGGAAGAGTTTTATGTATATTTTTATATATATATATATTTACTTGTGAAATGTGTCCTTCAAACCTCTGCACTGTTTCATGTCTGACTCTTAGTGTTCATGACGCTGTCTGTTCAGCACTGGTCTCTAACAAACCTTGGAGTATTGAAGGCACTCAGCTACACTGGACTTTATGAAGTGATATTAAAGAATTAGGGGCTGACTAGAAATGACCACCACTATTTTCAGATTTGTTTAATATGTTATATGTTTAATGAAACTAAATGTTCTACCATTTTGCTTTGTATTATAATCATAATAGTTTACTCCATAAAATCCTACAAAAATAAGTTTGTAGTTCTGATGTCACAATGGATGTGAATAATTGATCAGGCATGGTATTCAACCCAGTCAATCAACTTCATATATTCTTACCTTGGGCTAACAAGGGGATCGAACACCAGTTGTTTTCTGGAGAATGTTAAAGGTGCTGACCTGGGTACCACTTCTACTACACAATTATCTGGTTTTTCTTAGAACTCTTTGGACCAATCTGACTGTATGATCTGGTTGAATTGTCTCTGTAAAGATTCTTCAAGATGACATAGAAAAGAAAACTAAATTGAAAAAAAAATACAAGAGTTTTTTACACCTATATAGCTTCACACGCACAAAAACTAATTGTTGGCATCAAAAAACTGAAGCCAAGTTTTTTT